GCAATCAAGATCTTTGATTTCCAGCCAATAAACATGACAACCAAACTTTATATATATATATATATATATATATATATTCTAGTAGCAGTGATGGGGCCAAAAATTTATGGTAGTGGGGCTAATAACTAAAACAAAAATTGAATGGGGCTATAAGGTTAATACTTAAATTTTTAGTAGGGTTTATGTGTCTGTGAATATAATAAAATACACATTTAGATATATAGGATTTTTAAAAATAAAAAATTCAAGTGGGGGTTTGGCATTAAGTTGCCCGTTCATATCTCGTAGAATATAATTGATGGCAGAAATAAAATGGTGTTATCTTTTTGATAACACTCTTGAAAATATCCCTTTTTTATAATGAAATGGTCGGAAAAATAATTCTTTGTATCAAATTTTTTTTTAATTATTATACTTAATAATTTCATATGTAGTTTTTGTAAAATTTTGATATCTTTTTTTCAGTCCTGTTCAAAGTTTTCTTAATTCGGCCTTCAAAAAGAATACGAGCAAACAAGTTTACAGTTTATGGGTTGTTGGATTCTTCTCCATTTTGTATTTAATTTGGCAGTTCAGAAACACAATTATCTTTGAAGGCCAAAATTTCATTTTGGCACTGCATGCAGGAAGCGAATTCTATTGACACATGAGTGATGAATAATTCTGTTTTGGACAAGGTGATGTTTGGTAGATGGATTCGTTCCCTGATTCGAATCATGGTTCGTGATTCGCTACAGTATTTTTTCTCACAAAAAATACACGTAAATCAAAAATTGTTCTAATCACATGGTTCTAATCCATGAACCAAACGCACCCTAAAAATCTATAAAATATTGAGCGTTCCAAACAAAATTAGAAAAGCTTCTAGAGTTATATTGAATCCTAGGCTGAATTCCCCTAACCCGACCAGCTATTGGTGTTATATATTCAGGACTTATTGTGGCTTTTACAAAGGTTGTTTTGTTAGTCTTCTGGGCATTTTAAATGTCTTTGAAGCTTAATTAATAGGTGCTGTCAAAGCTAATGAATTTGCTAATTACCAATTCAATTAAATCAATTTCTTATGGTTTGAGTGTGTTTTTGACCTATGTTTTGTATGCTCTCTCATAGTACGTTAATCACATGAACGTTAAAATCTCGCTGGAGTGGGACCACGTCTTATCTGAGTTCCGTTATGTTTTGTGGTTAGCATATTTTCGAAGAAGTTAATTATAATCGTGCTGATGAAAAGCTTGCTTCACGCTCCTTTTTGGTGGTTTACAATTTCTGACTCCTAAAGTAAACTTGTATTAATTTTTCCCCGCCAATATGTGCATGCAATAATTTTGTAATTAGAGTGGAAGAGTCGAAAATTAACAAGGACAAGATCATTCAAAATTAACCACCATTCATTCATTAAAAAAAAAAAAAGAAAGAAAAAACAAAACAGGACAAGACGGCCATTCGACTGAATATATACAGAACTTCATATATTTATGGTATAGACTCTTGTATGACCCCAATAATGTTGCACATATATCATGCTAACATGCGAACTTGGTCTTCTAAAATACTAGCTCATGTATATATACGTACTACGCTATGAATATTTTTCATATACATATGTGTGTGTGTATGTGTGTGTGTGTCTATATATATATATATATATACATAACTAACTTGGGGTACTTAGGAGGTCATGTGCCCAGCTGTATTGAGTCTTTACTTGTTTGCACCTGACTTCAACTATATATCTTATCATATGTCTCTAATCTCTATTACTTTCTCGAAGTAAAGGCCATATGCATATTGTCTTTTCATTCGACAGTTCCTACAATATATATATATATATATATATATATATATCTTTAAAAGATATCATTTGGTGGACCACCAATATTTTCCCACGTAAAGTTATATTTATTCATATATAATATGGTCTATGATTACACAAAGTACTGTAGCTGGATAGGATATCCACCATCCAATTTGTTATCACGGGAAAAGCAAGCATAATATGACACATGGAATGACCAATATTGGAAGTGACTGTGTTAGGTTACCGCTCATAGTTATCATTGACTTGTGAAGCTTTTTTGTTTTTTTTTTTTGTTTCGTTTTTCTTACGTGTCTACGTAATTTTTTTTTTTTTTCACTTTTATAAAATAGCCGTTTTTTTTTTTTTTTTGATATTATAGTAGAGGAGTAATGATACAAGGAATGTATAGAAAGAAAAATAAAATAATTAGTTGAGAAGAGAAATTACTTGGTCACTTTAATTTGATCAATCCTATATGTGGAAGATAAATTAAGCCTCTTATGCTGAAATATGCTGAACGGGCAGACAATATTATATCTAATCAGCATTACGTAACTCATCATCTATCATTCAACTTACCATCTGAAAGAAGTTCCTTTGATATTTTTTATCGTCTTCTCTTCAACATTTACATAAAAACAAAATCCAAGAAATGATATTTTTTTTTCTATTATTTTTAAAAAAAAATATGTTCGTGACTTTGTCTCCAAGATGTACATATCTTTCAATTATACATCCACAATAATAAATGCTTAACAGCTTAAAATAAAATAAAAATGAATGAATGAATAAATAAATGCTTAACACTAATTACCTTCGTTTCTGCTATATGTTTGTACTTTGCTTAGTTTTTTGTATTAAAAAAATATATTTCTTTGTTGTTGAAAATATCACTAGTAGAAATTTAGGATTTAACGACCGTTAATAACCGTCGTTAAAAGATTAGACGACGGTTATAAGACAATTCAGGTAGTTTTTCTAGTACATAATCACCAAAATATAAATGCTAATCTTGGACTATGGTAATAATATTTGACAACACTCGACCAGTTATGAAACAATTCTATTTATATATGCATGTCATTGTAAGTAATACACATAATTAGGGAATTTTTTTCTCCTTTTGGAGGTAAATATACATGGTACTGGCCTTGCAATTCATCAAAAGGAGATGGGAAAAAAGAGATCTTCAAATATATCCTGAAAATGAACTTCAAAATAATGCTCCAATGAACATTAATAGCAAATATTTGGTGCAATCAGAGCTTAGTTGGATGTTCTCAGCTACTCTTGTATCTTCGATAAGCAATATACCTTCTCTCGTTTGTGTTCTATAACTAAACATAAATAATATTATATCACGGCAAGTATTATTATTTTTGTCACTTTCTACATTCATTGTCTGACACATGTACTCCACTATCTCATATTCTGATTAAATAATAATATATCACATTAGTGGAGTTCATGTGTGAGACAGTGAACGCTGAAAGTGATAAAGTGAGTTACAGAAAAAGTGATGCTAACATTTCTCTTGAGTTCACTTCAAAGCTTCGAAAGTGAAAAAAAAGGTGTTCTTTAGGTATATATGTCACGTGTGTGCTTCTTTTTTAATGATACTGAACAAACTATAGTGGATTTCTTTAATAAACGACGAGAGGGAAGATAACTAGCATAAGAAAAAGAAGTATAAAGGTTCCAAGAAAGTTGACATTGAAATCCTACTTTGATACTAAATCCCGACTCAAATATTGTTAAAAAAGAAAAAGGAAGAACAACAATAATGTTCAAGGACAATCACCAAAATAGTGTATAACTCACCACATCCTTTGAAAAATGAGAGCCTTTTGATTACAACGTACAAAGGCCAAAAAATCAAATCCGAGCATTGATCTTATGATGATCATGATCATCAAGAGTATTTGAGGAGTAAAGATGGCTCAAAGGAAATCTAGAAGTACTATATACATCCAACGCCAAATAATTTATCCATAAATACACACACACAGCCTGCTTTTCTATATTCATCCTTTTTTTTGTTAGGTTCTAACCAAACCCACTGACGACCAAAAGGAGAGGAGGGACATCTCTACAACCTTATCAGTTCTGTTTTTATAATGAGCTTAGTTGCCTTTTGTTTCGTGCAAGATGTTTTAAAATATGCCGATGACATGATTGGATATGTGTGGGCCTTTTTAAAATGTGATATTCTAAATGCTACATTATTGTAAGGAAGATAAACATACTTTGTTCTTTTCGTACTCATGAAATACGTACCTTAACCTATTTTCATTCCAAGAATACAGTAAGTTGCCCATTTTGGCTTCCATATTTTTGGTTTTCATATAAATTATAATTTAACTCTAATGTGAAACTGATAGGCATAGATAATGTTATATATATACATATAAATATAAATACAATATATATGTATGCAGTGTGTAATTAGTTCTTACTTTGTAAAAATGGATTAATGCCATACTCAAACAGAATTACAAGCTTTGGTACATATTATACAAGTATTTACATCTAAAAAAAACTTGATCAACCTAAATGGAGTCATTCTATTACTCTTACACAAGCTATATATATGCAATTACATTTTCATATACCAAAGTTTTGTTCATAAATAACATTATTGATCAAAGTGTTAACGGTAATTTGGTTTACTCAATAGTTAAAGCTCTCTGATGATCGTCAAGTGAGACCAAACTTGACATCCTCAATTTCACTGAATATAAAGAGTAATTTCACGTAGATGATATGAACTGATACATATATAAAAATTTCTCATTAGTTTTACTAGTTTGAATCACAATTTAAGTTTTTACTATAGTGTTTTCTCTCATAAAAATTTAAATATAACATTTTCCTCTATAATAATTCAAATTCTCAACTTGAATGGGTAAAATGAACGAGTTCAATAACTTCTCTAACTCTCCTAGAGAAGTAATTTAGAAAAAAAAGGTTAAGAATCACAAAATCAAAAATATACAATATTATATTCAAATTTGATATTTCTCTTCCGAGAGTATGAATCCCTTTGTTTTGTGCTGATCATACAAGAACGACTCCATCACAACCGCAACAAACAATAATCAGTTAAATTGTTCACACACAAACAAAGCCAAAAAAAAAAAAAAAAAAAAAAAAAAAAAAAAAAAAAAAAAACAAAAAAAAAAAAAAAAAAAAAAAAAAAAACCAATAAAAGAGAAGTTCCCTTTTGATTCACTATTCACATATGTAGGAAATTATAAAAGTACTACCGTCGAGAAGAGTTATAATTAGGCGGAGAGTACTCACAAACGACCTCAGTCTCCTCTTCCCTTCTGTGGAAATTCCGGTGGCAGCCGCAGGCGGCGCACGTGAGTGCCTCTCGCGTGCCCTCGTCGCCGCTCGCCATGAATTCCCTGCATCCGTCGACAGCGTAGCCTCCGATGTTGGCGGCGTGGTTCTTCTGGCACTCTCCGTACCTCACCGTACTTCTCACCACAGAAGTGCTTGTACTGGACTTGTCTCTTCTCACCACAACTTGCCGCTTCTTCATTATAATTATTTTGGAGTAGATTTCTATTTCCTTAATTGTCTAAGCTTGTATTGCCCTTGTAGATCACCCAAATTCTACAAAGGGGAATCTTTCGTTTAAAAAGGAAAAAAAGAAAAGGAAAAAGGGTTAGCTATATATGGCGATGGCTATATATATAGCTATTATATATATATATATATATATATAAATATAAGGTATGGAGTTAGTGCCTAATACGTAATAACCCTAACCCTAGAAGATATATTTATATATGCGGGGTTAGTGGCATTTCATTCCCAGTATCCCTAGAAGATGGAAATACAAATTAAAAAAAAAAAAAAAAGAGAAAAAAATAGAGGCTCTAGAGAGAGCCGATCATGAGCAGCCATATTTTACTAGTTGTTTTATTTTAATGTGCCGAGGATTGAACAAGGGGAACAAAATATGGACACAAAATTCATTGTGTCGACCAATGGTTGTGAAACACGTCAGCCAAAAATTTATCCTGCTCTAAAAGAATTTAGAAGAAAAAGTAAGGTAACTGTATCAGTCTGGCCATGATCTCTTTAGTTCTTTAGAAATGTATAATAATAGATATAAATAAACAAAAGTTTCCTCCATACTTCAACGTGGAGCCCTTGGATTATATATATACGGGGCTTAGTTTACAGGATTAACGTGAATCTCTAGTTGTAATGTGAACTTCTAATTGGTTTAACATTAGCCGTGATTTCCTTTCAAAAAATACGGATAATCCAGAGAATTGCATTTTTCTACAGTATAATTTGATTATAGACTACGGACATGTTGACCAAACCATAAAATGGGATTAGATGAAATAAAATAATACAATTATGATTAATATTTCTCTTTTAGTACGTATGGTTTACTTATCTAATAGATGGTGTCACAAAAAAGAATCTAACTTAGTTGTTATAAAAATCTAGCTATCGTAATTATTAAAATGATTTTATAAATAATTGAACAGTTATTAGCTTATAGCATGTGAGCTTCTTAAAGATAAGTAAATTTGACATTCATTGTCGGCTTTTTAACCGGAAATCATTATTAAGAGGTGCTTATTTTGTGTATTGTAAACTCTCGTTAATGATCATTTTGTAATGAAACACAAGGTTAAGTGTGAAAACTAATCACTCTTTTTTCTTTTCCTTTCGTGCGAAGTAAACGTGTCCTCGATAGTAAATCTTATTTTCTTTGAATGAGCCACAAAAATCAATCTTTGGAAATGATATCTCAACTGTCCTGCAAGACATTTGAACAAGATATTTAAATTTGTTACAAAAAAAATATTTTGTGCGTATGTGCTTGACTTATTTAATACGACGAACGAAAGTGAGTGGAACTACACTTAGTGGGGCAAAATCACACTTAGGAAAGTGTTAAACCAAAAGGACGATGACAAAAACTAGTTAACGCGTGGATTCTGTATATTTTTTTATTGTTGTTGTGGGACCAAATTGATACTTAATGCAGGCTGCTATGGCCCCATAAAAGTACCGTGACAACAAATCTTGTCTAATTACCCATGATTCTAATAATTAAGAACATTGCCCACCTTCTTTCATCCACAGTTGACGATCTTCTCTCCTTGCATCCAATCAAGGACAATCATATAACTTTCGAGTTTCAACATCAATGAGATGCTCTTCAACTCCATTCCACTTTAATCATATTGAAAGAAACTTGACCATCACGTTTTAGAGAATTATAATATTTTTAGGCTATGGCATTAAAAAACATGAGAAGATTTTGCCCCTGTTTAGCTCATGAGTTCGCCAAATTTGAACCCATGAGCGCCCGATTTTAAATTTGTGTTTAGATCCATAGTACTTGAGGAGGGGATCTAAACTCACGATTTTTAATTTCAAACTTCATTATCTATTTCAAACCTACAGTTCAATAAAAAAAATATACAAACACCAGTTCGGATTTCAAGTTCAAACTATATTTTTCAACTTTTTAATTTAAACCAAAAAAGTTCAAACCGCCATCAACAATTGAAGATGTGTGCGTACATTCGTTATGAGATGTGCATGGAAAAGCAGACCAAAAGAAGTGGATGCATGAAGATAAAATATATTTCGATTTATTGATATACGATCCTCATAAAAAAAAAAAACACCACTTTTTAATTTCTTGCAGACATTAATAAGTTGAGTTTGATATTGAAAGGAATTGTGTGGAGTTCTTCAATCAATCCATGAGTGCATATTTGTATGCACAAGCGGCCATTGGGGGAAAGTGAGAGAGAATCAAGCAAGATATAACCACAAAATGAGGCGGTAACACGTGCATCATAAACCACATTCTAAAAGTGAGTAGAAGGGTCGACAAACAAAAATGTGGTTGTCAATCAGGAATTTGCACAATACATCTATATCAAAACTGTACATTTTGCAAGATGTATATTTGGCAAACTCAAATCATGTTCCATTTGTGATATTGTATCAAAAGATAAGATCATGATTTTTACAAGAAACCCCACTAATTAAATTATGATTTCAATGTATAAAATTAGCTAGTTGGAATGTAATAGTCAGGTGACGCGACTTTGATTTATGCCATTTTTTTTTTTTTTTTTTTTACCGTTTATAAAAAAAGAGTCATAATAAATACACGATATATGTTTAAATGTGTGAAGTTGACACGTATATGATTAGTTGTAGTTATTTTACAAGTAGTGTTGATTTTTATGTACCTAATTAATTATTAGAGCCCATAGTTGGTGCATAATTAATGCTTTATGCACTAGAAAACAAATTTTCAAAGATAGAATAATCGGTGGTCCGGATATTTCAACAAATTTGATAAGAAAAATTGTTGGGACAAGTCAACCAAAAGGCTCTCTTTTCCACATAATCGTTCCACTTATGTGTGGAAATTGAGAAGTTGCTGGAGAAAGTACTATTTGAATCATGAAATTTGATCATATGCTGCCATTTAGTTTAGCATGGACCGAAGTGCATATTAATGGATATATTTGAATCATGATACATATATGAAATTTGCCAATTAAGTGAGTACTGCGACTGTATCCTCCATGAAATAAATAATTCATAAATCCCCCGAATTTTGTATCATGTTTCAGTACACTCTGAATTATGAAAAGAGTTTATTTCTCCTCCTGAAAATAGTTCTAAACAGCCCATATACTAATATTATTTCTTGCTCTTTAAACTATTAGTTTTCTCTCTATCTGCTCCTTTTTTTTTTTTTTTTTTCCGAAAATATCATAGGATAAATTGATTTAAAATCAATAATTTAAGAAGCATTTATAAATGTATAAGTTATTTCATATCATCATTATGTTAGTTTATAAATGAAAGAGCATTTTGAAGTAATGTACATAATTTAAGAGTCAAATTAACTGGTTTTAGAATTTGTAGACGTGTTGAAACAAAATACAAAATATGGAGACGTTTATGAAATTTGGTTTAGTCTTTAGTCCGGCGAGCACTGTTTGCCTGACCAATTAGCGTGACGAATTATTACTTAAAAATATATAGTAGCAGCTTTAAGAGACGTATGTAACACCTGTGAAATCAATGGCAAAGCACGTAATATGGAATAAGAAAACGAAAATGAAAGCTTTTCAAGAAATATTGCGAACCCATTGTAAATTATTTGTAGTAACAAGTTTACAAGGTGGTAATATCGCTGAAACGGCTTGAATTGAAATCAAGTCTGTTACAAGTGTAACACTTGTACTTTCGCGAATAAAGCAATAAGTATGTAAAAGATTGGTGCATTATTGTATATAACGATTTGTAAAACTAAATTCGTGAGGTTGTAACAGGTGTCAATATGTTGCATCCTGTCTTAAAATATATAGCAACATGATTGTAAGTAGATATTGTAAAACCTCATACCAATAAACTGACATTAAAGATTCATCTAAGCCGTTTTGGAGAAAAATTTAGTAAGCGATAGAGATATATAAACAAAATGTGTATGCATTCTAAGTCAATAAACATGGTTTCATGAAATGAAGAAAAAAATCACAGGATGTAGCAATAAAAAGTTTGATGTAAAATAATTTTATACAATAGGAGAATAATCCATTACAAGTGTGGTCTATATTAGTAGATGTATAATATGTTGCACTAAAGGTTTCAAGGACCCAGGAAAAAAGAAGAGTTCGAAAATAAGTGCAGTATTACAACACCGGCTAGGTAATTGATATAAATCACATACACCGTTGGAGTAAATGTTCTAATTAAAGTAATATTCACAAGAACATAGTTGTTTAAAATGGATTTTAGTTTTTTAATATATTTACATCTCGCTCATTTTATTGGTTTGAATCACAATTTAAGTTTTTGTTATAGTATTTTTTTTTTATAAAAATTTAAATTCAACTTTTTATGTTACACTTTTTCTCTCACATAAATTAATCCATTTTCAACTCAGTCCTTAACTCAAATATGCAAAATAAATAGAATTTTATTGTCCGAAACCTATTCACTTAATCCTGTTTATTATTGACAGTCTGCAAGTCTAAGCCATTTTAAAATTTCGTACCCTGCCCTTATTAATTTCTAACCCTCCATATATAATCAGACAGCTCAAATTCACGTGTTAGATCAATTAGACAAACAGTGTTTGCCGGATGAAAGACATTTTCTATGAAATTAATGTAATAAATATTAATTATGATCGTTATTTTTTTTTTGGAAGAAAAAAATCCTGATGCTGATGGATGACGTATGAAACAAATAATTTAAATAGTGACCGTTTTGGCAGTTGAGCTAATCTGTACTGGTAGGCTTAATTCTTCTGCCAAGGTGCAAAACAATCGTTGTATATTCTTCTGGCCTCAACTGCAAATTCAAAGGCCCATTTTGATAGTTAAGAAAAACTAGGTACCTAGCATCTAAAAGTGATAGGCTAGCTTTAGCAGGCAAAATACAGCAGTTTCTGATTCAGTATATAGAATATATAGCACTAACAATAATATTCGATATGACTTTTGCTAAATTTCAACACCATAATTTTGACACGATCGCCATTAGATACTACTGCTTCCTATTAGTGATGTCTATATGCTTTGAACCAACTAAGCCCTTTATTTTCTGGCATATACATTTTTTATTTATTGAATAA